GTACGACTTGATCAACTGGGGTAAGACTTTCAAATAGTGTCTGGTCCCATGCTGTGTAAAGTATCGCCACATTTTATTTTTCAGAGTCCTTTGAAACCGTTCCACCACGGTTGCTTTCGTTTTAGGATTTTGACTGGTGTAGAAATGAATGCCATGCTTCGTCATGAGAGCCTGGAAAGGACAGTTGACAAATTCTCTGCCTTTGTCTGTTTGCAATTAAGCAGGGAGTCGATCTTTGGCTTGTTGCATCAGCAAGGTTTGAAAACCTTCAGTCAAAGCAGAACTGCTCTTGGCCTTCAGGGGTTGCACCCATGCCATCTTTGAAAACACATCGATCACGCACAGCAGATATTTGAATCCTTCATTGTCGTCTTGAAAAGCAATAATGTCACTCAAGTCTGCTTGCCACAGTTCATCGACCCCTCCCACACGATAGTGGTCTCTCGGAAAGGAGCGTCTGGCTGGTTTGTGCAAGGTGTAGGTACTTTTGGTTTGCAACCAACGCTTGATTTGACTTTGCGATGGCATGGTTTTCTTCTTGCTTTTACTGGTTCTTGCATCTTGAGCGTGGATGCGTGCTGCTTTCCACAAAGGTCGCCAGCCTCCAAAACTTGCAGGATGTTCAGGATGAAAGTAAGTTTTTTCCAACCAGGCCGTCCAAAGGGAAGTAGGAAATCCTTTGTTTTGTTTCCCTGCAGCAGCAGCAGAGGGAAGAATGCGCTGTCGCGTCTTGGTCTGTCGCTTCATTTCTCTCAGACTGATGCCACTTCCTACATGAATGGCCTTTTTATAGAGAAGGGGAGAGATTTATTTTTTCTTAGGTGGTGCTAAAGGGTATCCATGAACCTCACCTGTTGATGACTCTGTCCTGTTTGGTATCAGATGGAGGTGGAGTCATCAACCATGGGGTTGACATCACATCTTTTTCTTCCTCCACTGGTGGATCCAATTGTCACGAAGGAGGTGGGGTTGGCATCTCATCTTCTTCTTCTTCTTCTTCTTCCGCTTGTGGATCCAGCTGCCGCCTCCTTCTTCTTCTTCTCTCTTTGTGACTTTGCGGGGAGAACGTGGGGAGGGAGAACTGGGTTATGAGTGTTTCTGGTGTGGCATGAGGATGGTGTTGCTGCTGCTGCTTCTGCATCCATTGCCATCGTTGAGGATTTCCAATTATTTCATGAGGGACATGACTGTTGGCCAAATGGTGATTCAAAATGGTCCAACCTGCAGGTCCCTCTTTGGTTTTCCGGTGACGCACTAAATCGTTGATCAAGTCCACCATGTGTGTGCCAGGGACAGGTTTCCCTTCCACGTTAATGGTTCCCTCTGGAGTCCAACTCAAGTCGGGATTGTTTTGAACCCTTGTCATCAAATTCATGGCTTTACTGGACATGGCTTTAGGAACACTCATGACCACTTCGTCTATCACTTGTTGAGGAGGGGCAGGTCTACCTGTGGTGTCCATTGTTGATGGTGTTGACGGTGGTGGTGGTGGTGTCACTTTGGGTTGTAGTGGTTTGATGGTGTTGTTGTTTCTGTTGTTGTTGTTGTGCTGTTGGCGCTGCAACTCTAGCATGTGTTGCAACAGTTGGTTATATTCTTGTTCCCGCATGTGAAAAGGCTGCTGTGACCTCTGCAACGCGTACATCTCTTCCAAATTTTGGAGACGTTTCTTTTCCAAGAGAGGGGTATGAAGTGTCTGACGATGACGTTGTTTGGTGGCCTGTAGACTTTGCCATGTGTCTTCAGACACCAACACCATCTTGCGTGCGTACTTCATGGTGGCACACCACACACTCATCCCAGTCTTCCTGGTGTCAGACCATTTATTACTTTCCTCCAAACAAAGAGGCTAGGGCAGAACCAATAAGAGGTATGAGTCCTCCTAATAACCCTCCTCAATGTTGAAGAAGTTTACGTTTCTTGCTTAGAGGTACTTGTTTTTTCATGAGCGTAATCAAGACTTTACCGTGCGGTTGCAAGTTTTGACGTTGCGTCGTGGTCATGGGAATATTGCCTGCATACAAGTTCACCACACATTCACAAAGGGCACGGATGAGATCAGTAGGAGCATGTTTGAGAATGGCTTTGCACATCGCTGGAGCGGCAGCACACAAATGACACAGAGCATGTTTCTGTTTCCTGAGGCACTGAGACATCTTTCTTGCATGGAGGTGTTAGCCTGAATGAGTCACCTGATCTGCAGCTTCTCTCTTTTATCAGGCAGTGGCAGGAGGGAGTTGCAACTGTTGATCTGCCTTCTTGGACTTTCTTTGGGTCCGCATGTGTACCAATCGTCTGAGAGCATCAGCTTGATATGCTTTCATGACATTTTCATGAGCCTTTACTTTTGGCTTAGTAGTCATCGTTGTTGTTGTTGTAGGTCGGTGGCGCCTTGTGTTACCCTGTTTGAGGAGTGGTGCTTGAAGAAAATGTTGCCATTGCAACAGAATGCGTGTCAAGACCCCTGCAAGTGTTCCACTACCACTGCGTTGCATCAGGTAGTCAAGACGTTCATCCATAGGCAAACATGGATTGACAATTTTAGTCAGGGTATCATTATGACTCTGCAACCACGTCTTATGTTGAGCTTTCAATTGGATGTGTCCTGCTCTCAGGTTCCGCGCGACAATCGCAAACCACTGCAAAAGACAATTTCTTCCTTTGACGGCAAGGGTTGTCGCATCCCTTGTCGGAAAAATAGACGGTCTCTTGTCTTTTTTCTTCCTTTGTGGGGGCTCCTGCTGCTGCAGACGTTGAAAGCGTTGAAGATCGAGTGGGGGTGAGGGTGCTGATGAGGAAGGCCGTTGTTGTTCCTGACGATGCTTGTTCAAGGGTACCATCGAAGAGTAAGACGGACCTGGCGTGGACTTCTGCTGCTGCTGCTGTTGCTGTTGCAGAGGTTGAAAGCATTGAAGATCATGTGGTGACGAGGGTGGCGAAGATGCTGATGATGTTGAAGGACGTGGTGATGGCTGCTGCTGACGATGTATGTTCACGGGTACCATTGAAGAGGGAGACGATCCTGGAGGTGAAGGAGTCTTGTGAAATACAGAGGTCACAAGTCCCTGTAGCGATGAGGGGGAGACCATACTGTCATAGACATCATTCACCATCTCTTTGTCTTTGTTCTTTCCCTTTGTAGGATGAACCTGTTTCCGTCTTTGCCCCATGATGGATGTAGGTCAACTGAAGGAAGGTCTGAGGGTTCACCTCCTTTTATGAAAGTCTCTTCATCTCATAGGATCGGCACATACACGAGGGGTAATTCGGATCTCGAAAACAGGCAGGCGCGTACGCGATGGTCTTGCAACGTTGTGGGCTTCAAGTCCAAGAACAGGTAAGTGTAAGGCTCTCGGGTAGCGTCTTCATAGGCTTCACGCAGAAAAGGAACTTTGCCTGGAAACACCTGGCGAGCCAGACTGTCGATCTGCAATGCATCTCTCGGATTTTTAAAGAGGACCATGTAGTGAGCATTCAGACTGATGGTGCGATGTTGCGGCGATTGAGCAAACAAGTTCTGAGTGAGATACAGCACAGATGTGTTCCGGTGATGACTTTTCTTGGTGAACCATCGCAGCACTTCGGTTTCTTCTTCTTTCGTATTGTCCCCCAGCAAATCATCGATGACCAGCCAATGTGGGGCCACCCCTTTTTCGGGCAAGGCACGATCCGCTTTATCATGCTGTGGACAAACTCAAGAGCGACCCCTAAGCGGTCTGCCATCTCTTCCAGTTCATGATGAAGCGGTTGCCAATCGCTGTACACCCACTGGATGCGATGGGGTGACGTATCCAACACCTCGGGGCGATGCATCTGCTCCATACATAATTTCACAAAGGAACTTTTTCCTGATCCCGTGGGTCCCGCAATGAACATCGTAAAAGGATGGCGTAGGGTCAAAGGGCTGGTCATGACCTCTTCATGATCATGTGATGCCATCCTGTGTTCTGGCTGACTGACACCAGGCAACTGATCTTTTCAAGCATGACCTTTCTCTTTTATCTATTTTTTTCTTCCTATCTCTCCCATGACCCATACAATTTCTTATGAAAAAAAGAAACACAACGGTCGGTCCGATTTAGAAAACCGGGGCTCAGACCAAGTGTCGGAACGAACCCATCAGCACAATGCGTTTTCGACCAATCAGGAAGCAGGGTGTCAGAGCCTCTCCTATAAAAAGAGCGAAGCCACGCACACCGTCACAGTCGAGCACTGCAGGAGAGATCAACCATGTCGTCTCGATGCAGCTGTCTGATGTGCCAGACCAACAGTCAACAATGCCAGCGGAGGATGAAAGTCTATTTGTAGACAATAGTGGGCTACCCACGGGGTGAATCGGAGACGATCCTATCGCAGAGCCCACACTAGTTTAAGAACAAGTCTGAGGCTATGTCAGCATTACAACAAACTATTCAACGCGGAATTGACATACCCGACTGTTGGGGTGGTCCATATTATTATCTAGTATCGAGATCAAGGAAAGTAATGTAATCATGGAGACAACCCTTGTCCAGCTTGTTTCCAGTTTGTTTTCCAACGGCCCTTTTCAGGGCCACCCATCTCTCCCGAAAGACAACTTTCCTCCTTTGCTTTGATGACGCTCCAACCCCCCACACCGTGAACCCACCCCCTCCCTCCCTCCCTCCCTCCCTCCCTTCACCACCACCACCACCCCCACGTCTATGTGTAGAACAACAACAACAACAACAACAACAACAAAAGATTTTTGACGCGCTTCTTTCAATGTCGATCCTGTTCACCTTTTACGTGCGCTTCTCCGGGTTTTCCCCTCCTCCCCGGAAACGGAGGTGCCGCCATCTTGAAGGCGTACGCCACCGGAAACGGATGTACCGCCATCTTGAATGCGCACGCCACCGGAAACGGATGCGACGCCATCTTGGATGCGCACGCCATCGGAAACGGATGTGCCGCCAACAGACTACAGACAGGAAGTGAAAACAAGACCAGTACCAAGAACAGACCACAGACAGTGTACATACCAATCAGGAATGTTTGCAGATGATGAATGGTTTCTGAGGCGACCTGGCAGGTTATATCTTTCTCAGCTAGCATCTAAAAATAAGTAAAGTGAATAGCTGCTCATGAAATAAATATAAGCCAAGTAGGATTTTATTATGGATAGTAAGGATACATGCAAATAGTTGTGTTGACGTTGTAAACTCCTTTAACTTGTGACAGGAACTTCAACAATATCAAGTCTGGAAAAGACAAGCAATAGGGTAATAGCTGGTGGATGTCTCTACGGGTTGCACATGTAAGTAGTATGTAAGCTAATCCCATCTCTATTTCACAATTCTGAAGTATCAACAACTATATAATCTCACCATTCGCTGATCAATGAGTGACAAAATGATATACAAACCAATTTCATGTTGTTTGCTTCGGCATTCAACTTGTCTGTTAGCTGCTGAAGTTGTTCAGTTCTTTCATTGTCTGAAGCAATATTTGACTTCAGCTTTGCAAGCTCCTGTAAGGTATAATAAACCTTTGGGCTGTACATGAACTCTTATTAATCAAACAGTAATAATATATTCTTTCAATAACAATCATATCATTATTGTGTGATCAAGATGTCCATCAGTTGACTGGACCTGCAAAGTCCTTGTGGTACTACTTTGATCAGTTCAGTTGTTCTGATATAGACTTCTTAGATATTCAGACAATATGAATGAAATATAAAACGATTGGCGGGTGAACAAATGACTGAGGGCCTGTGCCTACGACTATCCCCATATAATTAGACATACCATTTTGTGTTTCTGTTCCAGGTCCACCAAATAGTCATCATTAGTTTGTGTTTGCTTATCTGTAATTGTAGAAGCAAATTGTGAATACCGAGCGACAGAACAATGCTTTCATTGAATAGCACCACGAAACACATGAATAAAGTTGTTTAGCAAAATTTGGGCACATATCATCAATATAGCACAATAACTGTTTTAATATGCATACCCTCAGGTGTGACCTCTTCTGAATCTTCTGTCAAGGTAGTGATGTTACCAAATCCAGACATATCTGATTTCAGTTTGGACAAGCCATTGGTGTTGAAGACAGCTTCAGGTACATCATGTGTTTCAGGTGAAGGAGTTTCTAGGCAGGTCCGAGTCATCCCCTCAACAGTGGTCTCCAGCTGCAGCAGGACCGATGTTGAAGCATAGAGAAGACATTTTTGTATGTAACCTGAAATGTCGGTGCATCTTGCATGATGCTCTTCACATGAGGCTTCAAGAGCATGTAGAGTTGCCTTGGTGTCCCTCGTCTGGCATTCAAGATCAATCAGGAGTTCCTTCTCCCTCTGGTCAAGTTGTGATCTCAAAGACCGGAAGGTATGTTCTATTGTCTTCCTCAATGTGTCCTGTGTCCTGTTGGCCAACTGTGTATCTTGTCTGATACTCTGAAGGTGTGTTTGCTGACGAGACAGTAACGCCGACAGATCTTTCCCGTGTTGTTCAATCCGCTGTGTAACTTCTTCAGCAGCTTCATCCAGGTAACCAACCTCGTGATCAGCGTGCTTTCCTCTCCTACATTGGGAACAGATACACATGTTGCAGCTTTTGTCAAACAAATCAAGTGGATACCGTTCGTGAATGCTGCAATGGGTTCCATTTTCAAGGTTTTGCGGGGTTATATCCCCAAAGTTGTGCACAGCATGATTTCTTGAAAGTTTGAAGCTGCTGTGCATGTTCTGGCAGTATTCACAGAGGAACTCTTCACACCCCTGACACCAACACACAGCCTGGTTCCCGTCATCTTCATGTGTACAGAGGAGCTCTGTGGGGCGATGTTTGACTGTCAGGTGGAATATTTCCTTCTGTCTGACTGCATTTTTCTGGAGACTTGTGTCTGTGAGGTTGACCTCCCTCTGACATGTAGAGCATGATATCACACCGCCAGCCGCAGATGTCACACACTTCTCACACACGGCGTGTAGACAGGGCAGTAAGAAGGGGACTGGACCTTTCAGTGTAAACTCATTATGACAGACGGAACACTTCGGGAAGGTGTCCATTCTGAAAGACACAAAATAATACTGAGATACATATGTCAATTGTATGTGTGTAGGATGCATAACCATGCGACGTTTGTGGTGTGAAACATCCACTTGAGTCTCTCTGAATATGTAGTATCTGTCAATGGAATTGGCTAATTTTATGGGTTTCTTCTGAGACCTTCTATGCAATGCATGGAACAATGTTGTAACCATCTGGTCACTGGCTGCGTTGATCCCTCAGACAAGCATTTTGGTCCTGTTGAGCTTCTCTTACTCACTCTAATAGGCTCATTTCTCTGTCATTTATAGACACTGTTATTTTGTATGAAAATACAAACTGTTGCCTTAAAACATCTACTTTTTAATTAAATTTCTCCTATCACAATCAACCCAAATCATATGTTCATATCAATCCTATGTCACACATAATTAGAGGCACGGGTCGCCCAATCATCTAAGGCGCCGCGTCAAATCGAAGACTATCTTAGGATACTTGACATCAATGTCAAATCGTCTGCCATCACTTTGGATTTTGTCTGAGGACTGTTCTTTCAAGACACCCGTAATATGCTTCTGAATCAAACAGTTGAGGGTTTTCACCAAATCTTCAGATGAATAGACTCCTTTCTCGATAGGAATCTTCTTGCTTTCATAATGGACGACACCATGCTGTGTCTGGGGTACAGTGGGCGATGCAGTTTCATACACATGGGTGTCTTTTTTCAGTGAGAGGTTCAGCGCAAACCAGTCAAAGGGTGGGGCGACGTTGTACCATGTCATCGGAAAGTGAATTTCGCTGACGCCTACCTCCCACTGTTGGCGATCCAGATGCAGAGAATAAGGCAACTTGATTTCATACGCATTGACGGTGTTGTTTGGATAGATGTCCATGGAGGCATCACTGGGCAGGGTCATGTAAGAGTCTTGTTTCAAAAAAAAGGTGGCAGCCATGATGACGTGAGTTAGGGTAGAAAACTCTGGGTGGATGAGGTATCAAGTTGAAGTCTTCTGGTGGACGGGGTCGTCGTGGGTATGTCTGGTGAGGCGGCCAAGGTGGGTGGTGGAAGTGTGTATCCCAAACAACTAGAGAGCAGGGCTGTCCACAACTGTTTCTCTCCGTGATCCAAGGCCAACTGTACCATGCTCATGATGATCACGCCATATATCACAATGATCTGAGCAATAAACACGACTTCACTGCGGGGTAACGCCATGCCAAAACAACACCAAGGTGAGTGTCGGCGCTGGTGATGACGAGGTGCAGCAGCAAGGGGTGGTTCATCGGTACCCACGGATGCTGAGAGGCTTCTCTGCAGAGGTGATGACGGTGGTGGTGGTGGTGGCGGTTCTGTCATCGCGTGTATCCACCCTCTGAATGAGTCTGAGAGACAGCATGCTTCTTATTTTATCTGTAAATGATCTGCAGGGATCCACGAATTAAAACTGGCAGGGTAGCCAGTCCATTTCACCAAGACCTCTTCTTGACCCTGTTTCGGTCCTGGACGTCTTTTTAGCACGCGATCCACAGCATACACATCGTCTGTTTTCAAGATGGGTTGTATTTCTTCAGGGTAAAAAGTTCCTTGGAGGACTTCACCATGATCATCTTTGATCCGATACACAGGAGGTGTTCTCCCAGTCACCAACCGTTCCACGTAAACAGTTCAGTGGTCCAATTGGGGAGATAACCTTTCTCAAAGGTGCCTTTGGTTTTGTTCAAACGTACACGTGTGCCCGGCAGTAAAAGAGAGGGGGATCTTGTCTTGGGGGACGACAGTCTTTGTGTTGTTATTTTCTTTTTGCGCTGAAGCCGTTGTTGTTGTTGTTTTTCCTCCATGTAGTCTAACACCCGAGTTTCTGACAGGGGATCTCCTGGGAGGACGTCCACAGTTCGCTGGCCAATGGTCCGATGCACACGACGGTTGTACGACTTGATCAACTGGGGTAAGACTTTCAAATAGTGTCTGGTCCCATGCTGTGTAAAGTATCGCCACATTTTATTTTTCAGAGTCCTTTGAAACCGTTCCACCACGGTTGCTTTCGTTTTAGGATTTTGACTGGTGTAGAAATGAATGCCATGCTTCGTCATGAGAGCCTGGAAAGGACAGTTGACAAATTCTCTGCCTTTGTCTGTTTGCAATTAAGCAGGGAGTCGATCTTTGGCTTGTTGCATCAGCAAGGTTTGAAAACCTTCAGTCAAAGCAGAACTGCTCTTGGCCTTCAGGGGTTGCACCCATGCCATCTTTGAAAACACATCGATCACGCACAGCAGATATTTGAATCCTTCATTGTCGTCTTGAAAAGCAATAATGTCACTCAAGTCTGCTTGCCACAGTTCATCGACCCCTCCCACACGATAGTGGTCTCTCGGAAAGGAGCGTCTGGCTGGTTTGTGCAAGGTGTAGGTACTTTTGGTTTGCAACCAACGCTTGATTTGACTTTGCGATGGCATGGTTTTCTTCTTGCTTTTACTGGTTCTTGCATCTTGAGCGTGGATGCGTGCTGCTTTCCACAAAGGTCGCCAGCCTCCAAAACTTGCAGGATGTTCAGGATGAAAGTAAGTTTTTTCCAACCAGGCCGTCCAAAGGGAAGTAGGAAATCCTTTGTTTTGTTTCCCTGCAGCAGCAGCAGAGGGAAGAATGCGCTGTCGCGTCTTGGTCTGTCGCTTCATTTCTCTCAGACTGATGCCACTTCCTACATGAATGGCCTTTTTATAGAGAAGGGGAGAGATTTATTTTTTCTTAGGTGGTGCTAAAGGGTATCCATGAACCTCACCTGTTGATGACTCTGTCCTGTTTGGTATCAGATGGAGGTGGAGTCATCAACCATGGGGTTGACATCACATCTTTTTCTTCCTCCACTGGTGGATCCAATTGTCACGAAGGAGGTGGGGTTGGCATCTCATCTTCTTCTTCTTCTTCTTCTTCCGCTTGTGGATCCAGCTGCCGCCTCCTTCTTCTTCTTCTCTCTTTGTGACTTTGCGGGGAGAACGTGGGGAGGGAGAACTGGGTTATGAGTGTTTCTGGTGTGGCATGAGGATGGTGTTGCTGCTGCTGCTTCTGCATCCATTGCCATCGTTGAGGATTTCCAATTATTTCATGAGGGACATGACTGTTGGCCAAATGGTGATTCAAAATGGTCCAACCTGCAGGTCCCTCTTTGGTTTTCCGGTGACGCACTAAATCGTTGATCAAGTCCACCATGTGTGTGCCAGGGACAGGTTTCCCTTCCACGTTAATGGTTCCCTCTGGAGTCCAACTCAAGTCGGGATTGTTTTGAACCCTTGTCATCAAATTCATGGCTTTACTGGACATGGCTTTAGGAACACTCATGACCACTTCGTCTATCACTTGTTGAGGAGGGGCAGGTCTACCTGTGGTGTCCATTGTTGATGGTGTTGACGGTGGTGGTGGTGGTGTCACTTTGGGTTGTAGTGGTTTGATGGTGTTGTTGTTTCTGTTGTTGTTGTTGTGCTGTTGGCGCTGCAACTCTAGCATGTGTTGCAACAGTTGGTTATATTCTTGTTCCCGCATGTGAAAAGGCTGCTGTGACCTCTGCAACGCGTACATCTCTTCCAAATTTTGGAGACGTTTCTTTTCCAAGAGAGGGGTATGAAGTGTCTGACGATGACGTTGTTTGGTGGCCTGTAGACTTTGCCATGTGTCTTCAGACACCAACACCATCTTGCGTGCGTAATTCATGGTGGCACACCACACACTCATCCCAGTCTTCCTGGTGTCAGACCATTTATTACTTTCCTCCAAACAAAGAGGCTAGGGCAGAACCAATAAGAGGTATGAGTCCTCCTAATAACCCTCCTCAATGTTGAAGAAGTTTACGTTTCTTGCTTAGAGGTACTTGTTTTTTCATGAGCGTAATCAAGACTTTACCGTGCGGTTGCAAGTTTTGACGTTGCGTCGTGGTCATGGGAATATTGCCTGCATACAAGTTCACCACACATTCACAAAGGGCACGGATGAGATCAGTAGGAGCATGTTTGAGAATGGCTTTGCACATCGCTGGAGCGGCAGCACACAAATGACACAGAGCATGTTTCTGTTTCCTGAGGCACTGAGACATCTTTCTTGCATGGAGGTGTTAGCCTGAATGAGTCACCTGATCTGCAGCTTCTCTCTTTTATCAGGCAGTGGCAGGAGGGAGTTGCAACTGTTGATCTGCCTTCTTGGACTTTCTTTGGGTCCGCATGTGTACCAATCGTCTGAGAGCATCAGCTTGATATGCTTTCATGACATTTTCATGAGCCTTTACTTTTGGCTTAGTAGTCATCGTTGTTGTTGTTGTAGGTCGGTGGCGCCTTGTGTTACCCTGTTTGAGGAGTGGTGCTTGAAGAAAATGTTGCCATTGCAACAGAATGCGTGTCAAGACCCCTGCAAGTGTTCCACTACCACTGCGTTGCATCAGGTAGTCAAGACGTTCATCCATAGGCAAACATGGATTGACAATTTTAGTCAGGGTATCATTATGACTCTGCAACCACGTCTTATGTTGAGCTTTCAATTGGATGTGTCCTGCTCTCAGGTTCCGCGCGACAATCGCAAACCACTGCAAAAGACAATTTCTTCCTTTGACGGCAAGGGTTGTCGCATCCCTTGTCGGAAAAATAGACGGTCTCTTGTCTTTTTTCTTCCTTTGTGGGGGCTCCTGCTGCTGCAGACGTTGAAAGCGTTGAAGATCGAGTGGGGGTGAGGGTGCTGATGAGGAAGGCCGTTGTTGTTCCTGACGATGCTTGTTCAAGGGTACCATCGAAGAGTAAGACGGACCTGGCGTGGACTTCTGCTGCTGCTGCTGTTGCTGTTGCAGAGGTTGAAAGCATTGAAGATCATGTGGTGACGAGGGTGGCGAAGATGCTGATGATGTTGAAGGACGTGGTGATGGCTGCTGCTGACGATGTATGTTCACGGGTACCATTGAAGAGGGAGACGATCCTGGAGGTGAAGGAGTCTTGTGAAATACAGAGGTCACAAGTCCCTGTAGCGATGAGGGGGAGACCATACTGTCATAGACATCATTCACCATCTCTTTGTCTTTGTTCTTTCCCTTTGTAGGATGAACCTGTTTCCGTCTTTGCCCCATGATGGATGTAGGTCAACTGAAGGAAGGTCTGAGGGTTCACCTCCTTTTATGAAAGTCTCTTCATCTCATAGGATCGGCACATACACGAGGGGTAATTCGGATCTCGAAAACAGGCAGGCGCGTACGCGATGGTCTTGCAACGTTGTGGGCTTCAAGTCCAAGAACAGGTAAGTGTAAGGCTCTCGGGTAGCGTCTTCATAGGCTTCACGCAGAAAAGGAACTTTGCCTGGAAACACCTGGCGAGCCAGACTGTCGATCTGCAATGCATCTCTCGGATTTTTAAAGAGGACCATGTAGTGAGCATTCAGACTGATGGTGCGATGTTGCGGCGATTGAGCAAACAAGTTCTGAGTGAGATACAGCACAGATGTGTTCCGGTGATGACTTTTCTTGGTGAACCATCGCAGCACTTCGGTTTCTTCTTCTTTCGTATTGTCCCCCAGCAAATCATCGATGACCAGCCAATGTGGGGCCACCCCTTTTTCGGGCAAGGCACGATCCGCTTTATCATGCTGTGGACAAACTCAAGAGCGACCCCTAAGCGGTCTGCCATCTCTTCCAGTTCATGATGAAGCGGTTGCCAATCGCTGTACACCCACTGGATGCGATGGGGTGACGTATCCAACACCTCGGGGCGATGCATCTGCTCCATACATAATTTCACAAAGGAACTTTTTCCTGATCCCGTGGGTCCCGCAATGAACATCGTAAAAGGATGGCGTAGGGTCAAAGGGCTGGTCATGACCTCTTCATGATCATGTGATGCCATCCTGTGTTCTGGCTGACTGACACCAGGCAACTGATCTTTTCAAGCATGACCTTTCTCTTTTATCTGTTATTTTTTTCTTCCTATCTCTCCCATGACCCATACAATTTCTTATGAAAAAAAGAAACACAACGGTCGGTCCGATTTAGAAAACCGGGGCTCAGACCAAGTGTCGGAACGAACCCATCAGCACAATGCGTTTTCGACCAATCAGGAAGCAGGGTGTCAGAGCCTCTCCTATAAAAAGAGCGAAGCCACGCACACCGTCACAGTCGAGCACTGCAGGAGAGATCAACCATGTCGTCTCGATGCAGCTGTCTGATGTGCCAGACCAACAGTCAACAATGCCAGCGGAGGATGAAAGTCTATTTGTAGACAATAGTGGGCTACCCACGGGGTGAATCGGAGACGATCCTATCGCAGAGCCCACACTAGTTTAAGAACAAGTCTGAGGCTATGTCAGCATTACAACAAACTATTCAACGCGGAATTGACATACCCGACTGTTGGGGTGGTCCATATTATTATCTAGTATCGAGATCAAGGAAAGTAATGTAATCATGGAGACAACCCTTGTCCAGCTTGTTTCCAGTTTGTTTTCCAACGGCCCTTTTCAGGGCCACCCATCTCTCCCGAAAGACAACTTTCCTCCTTTGCTTTGATGACGCTCCAACCCCCCACACCGTGAACCCACCCCCTCCCTCCCTCCCTCCCTCCCTCCCTTCACCACCACCACCACCCCCACGTCTATGTGTAGAACAACAACAACAACAACAACAACAACAAAAGATTTTTGACGCGCTTCTTTCAATGTCGATCCTGTTCACCTTTTACGTGCGCTTCTCCGGGTTTTCCCCTCCTCCCCGGAAACGGAGGTGCCGCCATCTTGAAGGCGTACGCCACCGGAAACGGATGTACCGCCATCTTGAATGCGCACGCCACCGGAAACGGATGCGACGCCATCTTGGATGCGCACGCCATCGGAAACGGATGTGCCGCCAACAGACTACAGACAGGAAGTGAAAACAAGACCAGTACCAAGAACAGACCACAGACAGTGTACATACCAATCAGGAATGTTTGCAGATGATGAATGGTTTCTGAGGCGACCTGGCAGGTTATATCTTTCTCAGCTAGCATCTAAAAATAAGTAAAGTGAATAGCTGCTCATGAAATAAATATAAGCCAAGTAGGATTTTATTATGGATAGTAAGGATACATGCAAATAGTTGTGTTGACGTTGTAAACTCCTTTAACTTGTGACAGGAACTTCAACAATATCAAGTCTGGAAAAGACAAGCAATAGGGTAATAGCTGGTGGATGTCTCTACGGGTTGCACATGTAAGTAGTATGTAAGCTAATCCCATCTCTATTTCACAATTCTGAAGTATCAACAACTATATAATCTCACCATTCGCTGATCAATGAGTGACAAAATGATATACAAACCAATTTCATGTTGTTTGCTTCGGCATTCAACTTGTCTGTTAGCTGCTGAAGTTGTTCAGTTCTTTCATTGTCTGAAGCAATATTTGACTTCAGCTTTGCAAGCTCCTGTAAGGTATAATAAACCTTTGGGCTGTACATGAACTCTTATTAATCAAACAGTAATAATATATTCTTTCAATAACAATCATATCATTATTGTGTGATCAAGATGTCCATCAGTTGACTGGACCTGCAAAGTCCTTGTGGTACTACTTTGATCAGTTCAGTTGTTCTGATATAGACTTCTTAGATATTCAGACAATATGAATGAAATATAAAACGATTGGCGGGTGAACAAATGACTGAGGGCCTGTGCCTACGACTATCCCCATATAATTAGACATACCATTTTGTGTTTCTGTTCCAGGTCCACCAAATAGTCATCATTAGTTTGTGTTTGCTTATCTGTAATTGTAGAAGCAAATTGTGAATACCGAGCGACAGAACAATGCTTTCATTGAATAGCACCACGAAACACATGAATAAAGTTGTTTAGCAAAATTTGGGCACATATCATCAATATAGCACAATAACTGTTTTAATATGCATACCCTCAGGTGTGACCTCTTCTGAATCTTCTGTCAAGGTAGTGATGTTACCAAATCCAGACATATCTGATTTCAGTTTGGACAAGCCATTGGTGTTGAAGACAGCTTCAGGTACATCATGTGTTTCAGGTGAAGGAGTTTCTAGGCAGGTCCGAGTCATCCCCTCAACAGTGGTCTCCAGCTGCAGCAGGACCGATGTTGAAGCATAGAGAAGACATTTTTGTATGTAACCTGAAATGTCGGTGCATCTTGCATGATGCTCTTCACATGAGGCTTCAAGAGCATGTAGAGTTGCCTTGGTGTCCCTCGTCTGGCATTCAAGATCAATCAGGAGTTCCTTCTCCCTCTGGTCAAGTTGTGATCTCAAAGACCGGAAGGTATGTTCTATTGTCTTCCTCAATGTGTCCTGTGTCCTGTTGGCCAACTGTGTATCTTGTCTGATACTCTGAAGGTGTGTTTGCTGACGAGACAGTAACGCCGACAGATCTTTCCCGTGTTGTTCAATCCGCTGTGTAACTTCTTCAGCAGCTTCATCCAGGTAACCAACCTCGTGATCAGCGTGCTTTCCTCTCCTACATTGGGAACAGATACACATGTTGCAGCTTTTGTCAAACAAATCAAGTGGATACCGTTCGTGAATGCTGCAATGGGTTCCATTTTCAAGGTTTTGCGGGGTTATATCCCCAAAGTTGTGCACAGCATGATTTCTTGAAAGTTTGAAGCTGCTGTGCATGTTCTGGCAGTATTCACAGAGGAACTCTTCACACCCCTGACACCAACACACAGCCTGGTTCCCGTCATCTTCATGTGTACAGAGGAGCTCTGTGGGGCGATGTTTGACTGTCAGGTGGAATATTTCCTTCTGTCTGACTGCATTTTTCTGGAGACTTGTGTCTGTGAGGTTGACCTCCCTCTGACATGTAGAGCATGATATCACACCGCCAGCCGCAGATGTCACACACTTCTCACACACGGCGTGTAGACAGGGCAGTAAGAAGGGGACTGGACCTTTCAGTGTAAACTCATTATGACAGACGGAACACTTCGGGAAGGTGTCCATTCTGAAAGACACAAAATAATACTGAGATACATATGTCAATTGTATGTGTGTAGGATGCATAACCATGCGACGTTTGTGGTGTGAAACATCCACTTGAGTCTCTCTGAATATGTAGTATCTGTCAATGGAATTGGCTAATTTTATGGGTTTCTTCTGAGACCTTCTATGCAATGCATGGAACAATGTTGTAACCATCTGGTCACTGGCTGCGTTGATCCCTCAGACAAGCATTTTGGTCCTGTTGAGCTTCTCTTACTCACTCTAATAGGCTCATTTCTCTGTCATTTATAGACACTGTTATTTTGTATGAAAATACAAACTGTTGCCTTAAAACATCTACTTTTTAATTAAATTTCTCCTATCACAATCAACCCAAATCATATGTTCATATCAATCCTATGTCACACATAATTAGAGGCACGGGTCGCCCAATCATCTAAGGCGCCGCGATTCGTGGCACAAAGTTGCGTCCCTTGGGCACGCCAGAAACCTATGATTGTGGGTTCGTATCCCGGTATATACCGATTATGTTTCTAGGTTTGTCAGCACAATACCCGTGCTCGTGGGTTTCACCGAAGTGGTAAACATCTGAGACCTGCATCACTTCGGGCTTTCCTCCCACATTAAGCTGACACGCCACGATATAACTTGAATACTGTTAAAGCAGCGTTAAACCAAACTCACTCACATACTCACACATCATTAAGGCCAGTTAAAATGCGTATCGTGTTCGATTTCCAACATGGATACACTGTGTGAAGTCCACTCATCTACACAATATGCAAGATGACAAAGACACGTAGACAAATGTTTTAATGTAGAACACAACCAATTTGATCTGTGTCGAGTGTGACATTAAACACTACAAATATCCACAAAATAAAACAACCAAAATTCAAATACATCAAACATTGCACTATTTTACGCAGGATATTTTACATATTCTTGAACTTAGGCTTAATAAGCACCTATTCGACTTAAGGAACCCATTGATGCACACAAGCCCACATGGTGCCCACATCCAGAAACATTCCTCATACGTTTACGTTCAGATACAGCACCAATTCTTTCAACATGCATGATAAAACGATATCTTATTATCATCATCGCAGGATTTTATAAACTCTATTTCACTTTGTGGAACCTAATATCAGGAACGCCTCCGTGGTCTAGAGGTACAGCGTCCGCCCCAGGGGCGGTAGTCGGGGTTTTATTCCCAGGCGCATCATACCCAAAGAAGTTAAAGGTGGTACTTGTTGTTACCCTGCCTGGCACTTGTCATTAAGGGACAAAAACCATTAGTCTGCTGGGAGACTGTTTCGAAGTGGGGTATTCATGTTAAACTGCGGCATGGTCTCTCAGTTGGCTAGAACTATGATATTGGCATTAGTCCGGACTAGTTCAAGCAGCCAAACACAAACACAAACACACACACACACACACACACACACACACACACACACACACACACACACACACACACACACACACACATGCACGTCGCTATATAAGTGCAATCATCTTGAACGCGACGTTTAAACGCGGCTCACCTCACGACACAAAACATTCGCAAATTAATTCTCTCTTTATGTACAACTGGCTGATCAACGGCTATCTATGCAGCACTCAGGCCATTAATTGGATATATACAGTAACCCTACCCTACAAGTGACATTACACCAGTAAGTGTACTCATGATAAGCATCACAACTCCATGACTCACGATAACAAAGTGACAAAAAGACCTTACTCCTATCTCACACAGTAGGTTCAGGTGTTTGTCGTCTAAATACAGCCACTATCGGTGTAGTGTTAGCACGTACTTATCTGCACATGCTCTACCTTTCTCACACGACCAATGAAGATCTTGGGTAGAATAAATCTGCAGCAACCCATGCTTACTGTCAAAGGCGAGTACGCTTGTCGTAAAAGGCAACTAACGGGGATCGGGTGGTCAGGCTCGGTGACGTGGTTGATGCATGTCATCGTATCCCAATTGCGTGGATCGATGCTCATGATGTCGATCACTGGATTGCCTGGTCCAGACTCGATTATTTACAGACAGCCGTCATGTACCTGGAATATTGCTGGGTGCGAAGATAAACAGCAAACAAACAACATGATTTAGAACGCGAAGATGTCTGACTATTCACAACGACTGTTAAATTTAAAAAAAAAATATCTGATTTGATTATGTACAGACCACCGTGATATAGCTGGAATATTGCTGAGTGCGGCGTTAAACAACAGGCAAAAAAAAAACTTGTTGGTGTAGCGTGAGCAAGTACATGTCTGCACGTACCTCTATTACACCCGGGAACACAATCATTTCTATACACTGTTGACAGTATAGGGTTTCAAGACTTGCACCCTGACAGTATCGTGACATATTCATATATTCATGTAAGTTTTGACCCTGCAAATTAAACAGTTTTCTGTGTGTAGAGGGAAAATGTGAGAGACGAGAGACAACACACCCACCTGGACTGTAGACTTCTTTCACTGTTGACACGCAGGTCACTTCCGGGCGATGACGCGGAAAAATCTCTTATCATAAGCGTGTTAGAACTGATATGAATATCTACGTTCACAATAATAACAACAGTGTCCTTTTCTTAAACTTGTGATTACTGTACATGTAAATGTACAAAGTTTACAAATGTTTTATCACGTAACATGTCACATATTAAGGATTGGAAATTGTCAAATACCAGTTTTATTAAACGAGTGAATAGGTATCATATATGACTCGCTTTCGCTCGTCAGATACGAGTTTAGTATTTTATGTATTACTTGCCGCTTATATCTTAATTTTTAAATTCCACGGTCGTTTGTGAATAGTCGGACATCTTCGCGTTCTAAATCATTCCAGCTATATGACGGCTGTCTGTAAATAATCGAATCTGAACCAGACAATCCAGTGATTGACATCATGAGCATCGATCCACGCAATTGGGATATGATGACATACATCAACAAAGTCAGCGGTCCTGACCACCCGATCCCATTATTCGCCTCATACGACAAGTATGTGTTGCCTATTCTAACTGGTCATAAACTATTGCTTAAACCACATGTTACGACGTAAATTGTAAAAAATTAAAACTGCTCTAAAATGTAATAACACTGCGGTAAAATGTAATATAGAGGTAAATTGTAATACACACTGTGGTAGATTGTAATAAAAACTGCGGCAAATTGTAATATGTTAAACTGCGGCAATTGTAATAATTACTGCCACAAATTTGTATAACCACTGCGGTTAATTGTAATAAAATATTATTCATTGTATATTCAAATAAACAAGGAAACATGCATGACATTTAAAATGTGCGACTAAACTGTTTGGAAATCAGAATCCGGACTTTGAAACGACTGAATTGATAAAGACTATACATTAAATTCTTAATATTTGTATTAAGGAAATAAAAAAGCGATTTTGTTTCAAATTCTATCATAAGTATTGAAAGACAGGTGCGCCATATTGTAACAAACTGCAGCAAATTGTAATACCAAGTGCGGTAGATTGAAATAACATCTCTCACTCCATCTTCTCAAAGTATGTTTACAGTGTTTGGACAAATAAAGTTTCTGTCCATGATGACGTTTCTTTTGTGGTTCAGTATATTACCTCATGGAGGTAACTGACAGTGTAGCCACAAATAGCAGCAATTGTAATAAAAACTGTGGCAAATTGAAATAACCACTTCGAGTTCCAGTGTTTATTTGAACCTAACATGATCAATTCCAACCTCCAGCATCTTTAAGGAAATATAAAAGCGATTTTGTTTCAATTCCTATAATTCCTATTGAAAAACAGATGTGGCAAATTGTAACAAACTGCGGCAAATTGAAATACCAAGTGCCATAAGTTGTAATAACATGTCTAAATTCTTCCGATTTTAAACAGATTTGGAGTGCCAGTGTTTATTCGACCTTAACAAGATCAATTCCTAACTCCCGCATGTTAAAGGAAATAAAAAAGCGATTTTGTTTCAATTTCTGTCATTCCTTTTGCAAGGCAGGTGCGGCAATTTGTAGCAAACTGCGGCAAATTGAAATATCAAGTGCTGTAATTGTAATAACATGTCTAAATTCTTCTGATTTTAAACAGAATTTGAGCTCCATTGTTTGTTCGACCTTAACATGATCAAGTCCACCATACATCGATTTTGTTTCAATCTCCAGTGTCATCCCTATCAAGAGGCAGGTGTGGCAACTTGAAAATAAAACTGTATTGAAAATTACATGTCTGTTGTTTTATATCATTTTTATTATACAGTGTGGGGAAAAGCCCATTTGTTGAAATGCCAGTGCCGTGAATTGTCCGAGTGGGGAAATGTCCTCCACTCGTGATCAAGACATCATAGTCAAGCCAAGATATCCATTTACTGGAAAAGAAATTTGTTTTCTATCCAAACCAGTCATTAACGACTGAGATCAACAAAGGTAATGTTACTTAAGGCCACATAAAATTCAGTAATATACTTTAATCCCTCTTTACATTATTTTGTTGCCTCCAAGTTCACAGAATTAGAAATATTGCTAATATGTGTGGTCCTACTTTCTTTACTTAATGAAATACTCCACACATGTAGCCCTACTGAAAACGCATGATGCAAGTTTATCGCAACCTTCCACAGTAATTGTACACAGATGTATTAAATAGTTATTTTAGAAAAAAAAATAGAATGTAAACTATAAAATGTTTCCCGCAATAATCAATCAAACTGTAACCAATAATTTCTTGCGGCCTTGACATAAAAATGCTAGGCATGCTTATACTGGACAGGTACCCTAATTCACAACTTGAGGCATGTGCATGACTCTGAAAAAGTGAATGAGTTTGGCATTGTGTGTTTGAGAAACCTGGCAACGTTCGTTTTTGGCGTAAATGTGCAGGCCTTTGAGGCACTTTGCAGTGACAAAATCTCTTTTGGAAACATTGAAAGGGTAACATTTGCTATCCAACTATGTTAAAAGAACCACCAAGGTGTCGCGCATGCGCGTCTGGTAACACCTTAACAGGAGCATC